GGAAAAAAGCGTGTGAAAAGCCACAGGTAATTTATGAGAGTGGGCGCCAGAAGACCTGAGGTGCAAGGTTTCTATTGGGTACCCAGAGGGAACACAATGGACTGTTCTTACCTGTCCTGAGAAAGGCAGCGAAAACAATGGCAGTGAGTTTCAAACAAACGCCATTTATGGCATTTGAGCGGGTTCGGGATTTCTAGTCTCTGTGTGCTGGTTTATGGTACATGTCAATTCAAATCTGCAGACTAAGACCCAGGAAACCTCTTGGTCAACTGACCAAAGTTTGGATCCATGGAGATTAGCCCCATTTTTGTGCTGCAATCTCTCTCTCTCTCTCTCTCTCTCTCTCTCACACTCTCTGTCTCTCTCTCGCTGTCTCTGACTGACATAAACACACACACACACATCTGTAGAAGATTGAATTCCTCAGGTTAGCCACCTGCTGCTTTGGGGAATAAGGCTTCAGAAAGGCATTTTATAAGAATGTAAAATTTTAACTTGGCTGAGAGGACCAACCAGTTGTTGTCTCTTGACCTGCAAAATCAAATTACTTCTTTTCAGTTGCTGCCTCAAGTTACGTTTTCGTGCATTAGTTGTAATGTGCACAAAATAACACAATTATGCTTGTTTAGGCCCAGTAAGGTAATTTTGCTAATGCTTTTCAAAGTTGAATCAGCCCCCTTGCTCTTCAAGCATCTAGAGTACCAATGACTGGCGTGATCGCTATTGTTGAAAGTAGAAGATTTTTAAAAAATATTAATACATCAGAACCAACATTTTAACATTTTAAATTGAACAGTAACCAAAAAGTGAAAACAAAGAAAATGTCATTTTAAGATTGTAGAATTCCATTCCATTCATCCATTTAGTATGAAAAACTGAGAAGTGATATTGCTTGTTTTCTGACGCAGTTTTTTTTGTATTACGTTCAGTCCAAGTGCTCATGGAGCAGTTTTGGACATCAGTATTACAGAGGAATGTATGTGCATTTATTCCATTAATGGGAAGGGGAATAGAAGCACTTGTATTGTAATGCAAAGCACCAAAGTGTCAAGGCTTTAACATTTTAAAAATGGAGATGATTGTCAACCACTGTCACTGCAATAATAATAACCAATAATAACTGTAAGCTTGGTACTACTACAAATAACAACAACAACAACAACAATAACAACAATAATAATAATAATAATAAATAATAATAATCATGATCAGCAGTATTCAACAGCATTGAATTGGATACCTCTGTCTCACCCCATCACCCCCCCTCCTCTTTTCTCCCCAGAATTACAAGGCACTGAAGCTTATTTAAAAATAGCCAATAATGAATTCATCACCATAATCAATTTGTTAAGCTTAGACTTTAAAAGAAGTAGTATTGATAAAATTCAAGAATCCTTACTATTCATATCTACTTTTTATCACTACTTAAATCAATCTCAGGCTTTAATTTTTTTTTTTTTAAGATTATTTTTTGGGAATTTTTCTTTCACCTGACAGGTGCAGTGCAGAGAGACAGGAAGGCCGGGGAGAAGAACGGGGGAAGACAAGCAGCAAATGACCTGAGCCGGAATCGAGCCCAGGTCGCTGCGGGAAGGACACAGCCTCCACGGCACGCGCACCCAGACCGTTGAGCCACCGGGGCGCCCCCTCAGGCTTTAATTCTTGAGGTATATAGGTCCACAAGGACTGTAGCTACTACAACCCCAATTCCGAAATAGTTGGGACGAAATGTAAATTGTGAATAAAATCAAAATGCAATGACTTTCAGATCACATGAGCCAATATGTTATTTACAATAGAACATAGTTTCAACATTTGAAATGTTATCTGAGACATTTTACATTTTTATCCACAAAATGAGCTTATTTCAAATTTTCTGGCTGCAACAGGTCTCAAAAAAGTTGGGACACAGGCAAAAAAAGGGCTGAAAAAGCAATTAATATATAAGAGAATCAGCTGAAAGAACATTTAGTAAGTAATTAAGTTAACTGGCATCAGGTGTGTAACATGATTGGCTATAAAAGGGATGTCTTAGAGAGGCTGAGTTTGTCAGAAGTAAAGATTGCCAGGGGCTCTCCAACCTGTGAAGGCTTGCATAAAAAAATTGTGGAATACTTTATTAACAATGTTCCTCAACGTCAAATTGCAAAGCCTTTGAAGGTCTCATCATCGACAGTGCATAACATCATCAAAAGATTCAGAGAAACTGGAGAAATCTCTGTGTGTAAGGAACAAGGCCTAAGACTTTTACTGGATGCCCGTGATCTTTGGGCTCTCAGACGCCACTGCATCACTCACCGGCATGATTCTGTCATTGATATTACTAAATGGGCCCAGGAATACTTCAAGAAACCACTGTCTGTAAACACAGTCCACTATGCCATCCACAGATGCCACCTAAAACTCTATCATGCAAAAAGGAAGCCATTGTTGAGAATGATCCAAAGCGCCGCCAGTATTCTTGGGCCAAGGCTCATTTAAAATGGACTGTGGCAAAGTGTCCCATGGTCAGGAGTCCAAATTTGACATTCTTGTTGGAAACCATGGGCGTTGTGTCCTCCGAGCTAAAGAGGAGAAAGACCACCCCTCCTGTTATCAGCAATTAGTTCAAAAGCCAGCATCTCTGATGGTATGGGGATGCATTAGTGTATATGGTGTGGGACACTTGCATGTTTTAAAAAGCACCATGAATGCTGAAAGGTGTATAAAGGTTTTAGAGCAACATATGCTCCCCTCCAGACAACATCTATTCCAGGGAAGGCCTTGTGTATTTCAGCAGGACAATGCAAAACCACATACTGCAGCTATTACAACAGCATGGCTTCGTAGTAGAAGAGTCCGTGTGCTGAACTGGCCTGCCTGCAGTCCTGATCTTTCACTGATTGAGAACATTTGGCGCATAATTAAATGAAAAGTCCATCAAAGGAGACCCAAAACTCTACAGCTGCTGGAAGCCTGTAATAAACAAGAGTGGGATCAAATTCCAATGGCTAAACTCAAGAAACTTGTCTCCTCAATGCCCAGACACCTCCACTCTGTGTTAAAAAGAAGAGGGGATGCTACACCATGGTAAACAGGCCCCTGTCCCAACTTTTTTGAGACCTGTAGCAGCCATCAAATTTGAAATGAGCTCATTTTGTGGGTAAAATTGTAATATTTCTCAGTTTCAACATTTGCTATTTTATCTCTGTTCCATTGTGAATAAAATACTGGCTAGTGTGATTTGAAAGTCATTGCGTTTTGATTTTATTCATAATTTACACTTTGTCCCAACTATTTCGGAATTGGGGTTGTATTTAAATTGTTGTGCAAAGATGCTAGCTGACACTTGGGACTCAGGATGCAGGAGCAGACAGAGGTTCGGTTTTACACTGTTTATTAAATGCAGGCTTAGGGTCAAACAGTTCAGCTCTTTAACACACGAAAGGATTGCAGTCCCAAGGCAGCAGGTAGAATCAGCATCAATGAACAGGCAGCAGTCCAATACCCAGGCAGGCAGAATGCAGTACTAGGAAGTGGGAAAGATCATAGGTCAGATAACAAGCAATAATTTTGTAACCAAAGCCAATCAGACACAGGGCAATTCAAACTTGTAAGTGTCATGGTTCTGGCTGTGTGTGTGGTTTTAGCCTTTCTTTGTGGCTCGTATTTGGACCACGTCTGTTTCTTTAACTATCGGATTCCTTCCCAGCTGTTTCATCAGGCGTGGGTGGTGCCTTCTCCTAAGGCTATATAAGCTGGATGTCCGCCACGCCTCCTTTGCTGGAGTGTCTGATTTTAGTTATCACTACAGCCAGAAGATAGCTCTAGTCAGGGATTTTTGGCGAATTTCTTTGCAGTATATTTGTGGTTCATTTCTTCAGGGAAGTTTCCTTTTACTTTCCCTATTTGTTTGTTTCTCCCTCGTTCTGCTTCCTGGTTCTTATTGTTGGGCGTTCATTTTGGAAGCGCGAGAGCTGTTCTGTTTCTTCGTTTATATTTCTCCCTGTGGGTATTTTAAGTCCTTACTGGTCCTATGTTTTCCTAGCCGCTGCAATTGGCTTCCCGATTCCTTCGGCCATCACAGCAAGACTGTAGAACAAAGAGAATCAACTGAAAATCAGATTATAGAAATAAAAGGTTCACAAGTAACTGAGAAAACACAGAAACAGTCTTGCAACGAGAACTTAAACTGCTAATTATACACAGGAAGTAAGTTTGTTCCGAGCCAAGTGGCCCATCAGTCCGGTGCTTAACCCTGGTTTCTGTGGCATGAAGCGACTAGGAGTATTGTTACTCCCCTGGATGGGATGCCAGTCCATCGCAGGTACTCCCCCAGCTCTTAGGGGCCGATCACACCATACGCACTTTATCGGCATGGGGCGCCCTTTTTGTTAATATTCTCAATGATTAGACGCGTTCTGGATGCTGCTTTTGCACACCGGGAGCCCCGTGTTGAAGCGCCCCAGGCGCCTCGCTATTTTTTGATGCGCTTCGTATCAAACACAGTCCTATTTTGAGGCGCCTTGATAAAAAGGTGCTTCACGTCATTGTCAATCTTTTCCCTGCTGTCCAATCATGTGGTGATGGTATTCCCCCTGCTCAGAGTTTCGTGGACCAAGATTGATTTCCTTTTGTTTTTTACAGTTCTTTCACTCTCAAAAAGAGCAAAAGCGAGTGCCCTACGATAATTCATTGTTTTTTTAAAAAAACAATTAACACAAAAAACCTGAAATCCGTTCGCTTTCGACTAGTTCATTGAAATAGTTAATTTCAGAATGTTCGCAAAGATAAGTGACTGGAGCGTTACTTAGCAACACAGAAAAGACACCTGCAGCGCCTTTTTACAATGTTGGCTTAAAAAAAAACAGGTCCGAGGCGCCTGGCGTTTCCACGCCAAAAAAAGCACATTCGGTGTGATCAGCTCCTTAGTCAGGCAGCCCTGACAATTTGCTGGTATCCATTTAAACACCTGGGTTGAGTGAGGCAGTGTGGTGTTTTGCCCAAGAACACACCGCGCAGGCTGTGGCAAGGGCTTGAACTCAGGACCTTTTGATCCCAACTCAAGCACACTTAACCACTGTGCTACTGCATCTCCACTCATACACAGGGAACCACCCTTTTTTTCAGTGTACTGGTGTACTGCTCTGGGGAATGCACAAGAGGAAGGTGCACATGTAGGCCAATTGACTTGGCTTATTTTTGTTAAAAGACTTGCCTTTATGTCGTTGATCAACATTTTACTAATTGCATTACCTATAATTATGAAAAAAAATTATGTGGTGCATTTCTGTTGTTTAAAAAAAGAAAAGATCAAAATGATCAAAATCCGGGATGACCCGGTGGCTCATTGGTCTAAGTGCGCATATAAAAAGGCTGTGTCCTTCCCGCTGCGACCTGGGTTCGATTCCGGCTCAAGTCATTTGCTGCATGTCTTCCCCCATTCTTCTCCCCAACTTTCCTGTCTCTCTACACTGTATAACTGTCAAATAAAGGAAAAGTTCCCAAAAAAAAAATCTTTTAAGGGGACCTATTATGCTGATCCTTCTTTTAATACATATTAGTAATGTTATAATGTTGGTTGTCCATGCTCAACCTCTGAAAAGTTTCTAAACATAAGATACAGGGGTTTTGCCGTAATCCAAGAACGTGATTTCATCAGCGTGATTTCCTCTCTGAACAGCTCCTCCCGAGATCTTCACGAGATCTGGGCAAAACCTGACGTCAGGTTGTGCCGTCCAATTAGTACAGACCTAGCCAGAGCCAACCACTGCGCTGGACCTGCCCACACCGGAAACTATTCTAGCAGGCACTAACAACGGCAAATCATACTATGCCTTAGTAGCGTCGACACTTTTGGAAATACAAAAGAAGAACCGCAGATCATTTGAGGTGCAATTTTGTTAGAATCTCTCCCAAAGCTACTTGTCCGTTTACTTTTGGACGCAAATAAAAACAAGTATTTCTCTTCCAAAAGACGATGCCACCAGAAATCAGTGGGTAGCTTTTTTTGTTTGCTAGCAGCAAACAGCCACGGCCAAAGGGAACGTTAGCTGTTTGTGCTCAGCATTGCACCAAAGACAGCTTTGTCAATAAAGGATAATTCGACACAGGATAAGCGTTTTCAGCTGCTTCTCAAACCTGAAGCAGCTGCATCGATCAAGCGCTCGGAGCCACAAGCTGTAAGTAACCATATAACAGCAAATAATGTAAGTGAAGCTAACGTGTTACAGGTGGCTAGCAGGACCGCTAGCGATAGTTAGCACTAACAACTGGCCTCAAGTGCAGGCTTTCTAAAATATCTGAAGATAAAGCCTGTATCGGTCGCGACTGTCCTTGACTCACAGACACAGAAGCTGTAAGTTGCTTTTACTGCATAAGCCAACCTGATGTGATAGCCAGTTGATTGTGGCTGTAGCACAGCAGCTAACGTAGCCAAGTTACTGTTGCTAATGTTTGCGTCCTAAATATGCAAGAGTGATATCAGGGGAAATTCTACAGAAGGTGTGTGAACATAAACCTCATTTGAAGCTAACTTTTAATACTTGTTTATAATTTGGATGCTTGGTACAACTGTTCACAGTAACAGAACTTGCTGTCTGTAAAACCTGTATTGCAAGGGTTTGTCTCTGTGGTTATGACCGCTCGGTTACCAGCTACTGCATGTTTGTTTGCGTGCTCTGCTAATTAAAAATGCTCCTGGTTAACTTATATGCAGTAATTCTGATCGGTATGCTTGTGTTACTTCGGTAAGCATCAATGTGGCAGTTTCATCATAACGCGTTGCCCGATTGTAGCCACTACAGTTAGTGATCGCTTCACTTATCCATGACCGGGATCAGCCGGATGCTTCACAAATGTCTGAGCAAGCTCTCTGGTGCTACCGTGAAAGCAATGCTAAACGCAGAAGCTTTACCGGTTTACAAATGATTTCTCTGCACTACCTTGACATAATTTTCATCCCCTTTAGAAATTGTTGTGGCTAATAAAAAGCCGAAAAAAGGCGGAGATTAAATAGGTAATTCTTTCCTGTAGAAGTGATCAATTCGCTAGCTCCACATAAGCAACTTGTCGCGCTTAACGGAACTTACGGTCTGCAAAACCTGTATTATGTTCATAAGATAACCGAGCTCTCTCTAGCTGTCGCGTACTATCCATAAAGCTGCTTTCACATCAGACACGAAAGGAAATTTTTTTCAGAGGACAGATTAGCCTACATTCAAAGTCAATGCAAAGACGTGAATACAGGCGTTATGGAGGCGTTAAGCAGCTTTCACACGGACACTTAAACTAATCTTTTCGCGACAGATTACATTCAAAGTCATGACCGCTTATCAGCTACTGCATGTTAGTTCGCGTGGTCTGCTAATAAAAAATGCTCCTGGTTAACTTATGTGCAGCAATTATGATCGGTATGTTTTGTGTTACTTGCCGGTAAGCATCAATGTGGCAGTTTCATCATAACGTTGCCTGATTGTAGCCACTACAGTTGAAGCTAACCGGAGAGGTGCTGAATGTGTCTGCTGTGTTTGGGCTGCAGTTAGACCAGAGGTAGATTTTGCAGAGCTTGGGGGGTGCGTTTTTGGGTGCTTATGAACGATCGCTTTACTTATCCATGACCGGGGTCAGCCTGATACATCTCCAATGTCTGGGCAAGCTCTCTGATACTACCGGTGAAAGCAATAGGGAAGCGCACAGCCTATAATTTGTCCGGTATAAAAAACGATTTCTCTGCATTCCCATCGATTGAATATTAAATTCTTTCCTGTAAAAGTGATCGATTCGCTAGCTCCACATAAGCAACGGTTCACGCAGACGGAACTTACGGTCTGCAAAACCTGTATTATGTTCATGACATAACCGAGCTCTGTCTAGGAGACGCTATACATAATGCGCCCATTTTCCGCGAGGAAAAGCTGGTCATTCCGAAGCAATAAGTAAACCATTACCATAGGCAATTTCCGAAAAGGCCGTTTAGCTTGGAGCTTTCGCCCCTCCGTCATATACCAGCGCGGAAGCTGTTCGTTTCTCCACGCTAACAACACACCACAGCTATGCACACAAACCAGCAGGTCCTAATACACACCGAAGCAGTCCATAAGCTGTTGGTCCACTTTTAGCTGCCCCTCACTGTCCATGTTTCCCTCTAAACTCAGACCCACCGGATTTCTACGGTCTCTGGTCTACACTTGGGCATATCGACCCGTTCTATAAATGTGTCTATATGGGGTGGATTCTAGCTTCCCCTGCATCCTAGCTAGGAGTAGAAAAACCGCAGTACTCACCAACTTTTGCCGTTGCAAACTGTAGCCAATAACATAACATAACATAACATAACATGAATGGCGAGAACAGGCCGTTCAGCCCAACTAGGCTCGCCAGTTTCTTTGTAATAGCAAATTCGTGCTTGAGCTGCCAGACTTTCCGCACTGCGTCCTCCACTTTCGCCGTTGCGTTTATTAGAACAAATTAATTTAATTAGATCTATACACATGTACTGCGTTTGATTGCAGAATTTCCCTGCTGATTCCTTAGCTCAGATGGCAGACGCGTCTCACGTTTCACTCTGAGACCCGGAAACTGCATTCAGCCGCCTCGTCCCGCCTAGATCCGCCCTCCACAGAGCTGGCCAGTCAGAAGAAAGTGGGCACACGGGGAGTGGGGGCCATAGCGGAAGAGCCACCCCAATGAGGCGTTTCAGGCAGAGACACAATGGACTACAAATGGGGTTTTTTGAGGATGGCAGTATGAGCTAAATAAGGACCCTGTTTGGGCTTTGAACGATCAGGAGTACTCTAGGGGAGTGCAAGATCAAAATATAACCTTGGAAATATAGCATCCGAGGTCCCCTTTAAAAAAAAAAAAAAAAAAAAGATCAAAATCCTTTCAGACATTATTTCTATATACTGCACCCATGTTGGATGCCTTGTGCTACTCTACACAATAGCAGGTAGTTGGTGCATTCTGGAATTTTGAAAAAAAGTTTTTAAAAATATATTAGCCTTCTGGACTAACTTCTCTCAACAGTATCTTGATCCGGCCATCAGCAAGGCCTAGGCCACGTCACTTCTTCCTCACTGTCTGTACGACTGCCCCACTGACCTGCTATCTGGTACGGCTGGTGAAGCCTCATATTCATTCGAACTAGAATCTGCTCCTGGCTTCGTCTGTTTGCCCGTGCCTGATGATGATGATGATCATTATTATTATTATTAGTAGTAGTTGTATTGCTTTTGTTGTTTCTGTATGTATTTTGTTTATTTTCTGTTTTTTTTTTAATTCATTATTATATTTTAATGTAATCTATCTCATCTAGTGTGCCTTATATGTTAAGTGGTTTTATTGTTTTGATTTCTATGTTTTCATGTTCGTAAATGTGTCTTCTTCAGCTAAAAAAAAAAAAAAACTTTTGAACTCCCTTTGCCTTCTCTAGGGATCGCAAGGAAATCAGAGCATTTTTTGCCACCTCCTTGTTATTTTTTTACATGTCCCTATGCTACACAACACAGACAGCATAATTGTTGTTAGTTCAAACTGGAGTATAAGAGTTGTTCTAGCTCTAGTCCAGCCCTAGGTGTACCAATTAGTCCATTCCTTACTTCCTTACATTGGCTCCCAGTGGTAACCAGGACAGATTTTGAGTTTCTCCTGCTCATCTACAAAGCCTTCAGTGGTTTAGATCCTTCCTAAATCTTAGATTCCCTAATCCTGCATGACCTTATACAAGCCCTTAGATCATCTGATGTTTGTTTTTTTGGCCTCAATACCATACAGTCAAAAAAAAGATAGGTGAGGCGGCATTTCTGATTTACACGCCCAGGCTGTGGAACACTGCCAAGGATTGTTAGAGAGGCAAACTTTGTGGATGCTTTTAAGAAGCAGCTTGTCACACCCTGACACCCCAAGATGTGAGGGAGGGTGCCAGGGCAAGGAGTGGAGATGGAGGGCCCAGTTGCAGGGACGTGGAGTTTATTATATAAACAGTGCAGGATAAAGAAACCAATACAAACCTTGCGAGACCCTATAGGGGAGCGCTGCAAACACAAACGGGGAAACCAGATGAAGGCTACCTGTCCGGATGAGGGAAAACAGAAA